CATGAGTAGGTCACGGTGAACTACTTTAAGATTGAAGTTTTCTGAGGACTCAAGATGCATTAATAGACAAACTAAGATTGAAGATTCTAAGCCAATATGTATTTGAGATATTTAAAAGTGGGTCACCTTGACCTACTTTTTGGTCTACATTCTTGGAAAACCCAAGATGCATCAACTGACAAAGTTTGATGATTCTAAGCCAATAAGTACCAAAGAAACTTAAATATAGCCATAGAATGTCGAAAGTAGGTTATCATGACCTACATTTTAGTCGACATTTTTCAGAGTCTCAAGATGCATCTTCTGACAAAGTTTGATAATTCTAAGCCAATAAATACCTGAGATATTCAAAAGTATGTCACCGTGACCTGCTTTTTGGCTGACATTCTCTGAAAACCCAAAGGGCATAAACTAACAAAGTTTGATGATTCTAAGCCAATAAGTACCGGAGATACTTAAATATAGCCATAAAATGTCAAAAGTAAGTCATCGTGACCTACTTTTTGGTCGACATTCTCCGAAAACCCAAGATGCATCAACTGACAAAGTTTGATGATTCTAAGCCGATAAGTACTGGAGATACTTAAATATAGCCAGTAAATGTCAAAAGTAGGTCATCGTGACCTACATTTTGGTTGACATTTATCAGAGGCCTAAGATGCATCTGCTGACCAAGTTTGATAATTCTAAGCCAATAAATACCTGAGACATTCAAAAGTAGGTCACCATGACCTACTTTTGAGTTAACATGATGTGAAGTCCTAAGATGCATCAACTTACAAGATTTGATGATCCTAGTCCTTATAGTAAACAAAATATAGACATTTTCATTAATTGTAAATTTAGGTCAACTTTGAAGTGACCTTGAGACCACGCCCTTTGCCCCAGGGTCATGCCTTGAACAATTTTTAATCTTCAACATATCCTGATCATTGTATGTAAGTTTGGTGAAAATCTGCCTGGTGGTTCTGGAGAAGAAGATTTTTTTGCAACCAGTACTTTTGGTTTTGTTTTCCTGATTATCTCCCCTTGTTTTAGGGTCCCAACCCTTATTTTAGTATAAAATGGTAGCCCTTGGGCCAAGGATACCCTGTGGCAAATTTGACACTGATTGGCCAATGGGTTCTCGAGTTATGGCCAATATTCTAAAAAGTTAACGCACACCGCACACAGCACGACGCACAACGCACAAATGGCCATAGCATTAGCTCTTTGAGCCTTTGGCTCAGAAGAGCTAAAAAGGGAGTAATATTTTTTCACTAGTGACGCTTCTCACGAAATTACGCGGAAATTAATTCCTCTCATATAATTAGGAATCTACAGTAGTGATTTTCATGCATCTTCTCTCCGAAGTTTAGGAGTAAAGGAGATAAGGTACATTTGATAATGTGTTTATATATGAACCATTCAGCCCAATCCGATGGCTCTAAATGCTTACAGTTCTAGTTAAGGGCCAAGTGTGGCAGGTTAAACTAATGTTGATAGATGACTGCTAGATGACCAAGAGTGACTTAGCTACTCCTATGAATGAGAACATGTATTTATAGGCATTTTATGCCAATGTATGCAGTATTCTAAATAAATATTGTTCATATCAACAGGTAAACCAAGGTTCTGTATTGCAGTAGGTGCAAGCACTAAAAATATGCTTGCACCTTGCCTGCTCAAAGGCTCTAAATGCCTAGAACATGTGTAAATTCGCAGCCCTTTGCTGACAAGTGGACATGCCTCAATATGAGTGAAAAATTAGACTTACCATACTTCATAATGAATGCAATATATGCATTTTAGAAGGAACTGATAAGAATTTTCTGGAGACCCCCCCCCCAAAAAAAGTACCCTATTTATGTAAATTTGACTTGAGGGTAAAACACCACAAAAATCTCCACTTTTCCTTAATGCAAAGTCCTCATCTTACAAGCTTTCCTCAAATTCCTATACAGCATGATACAAATGTCACAATTTTACCAATTAATGTAACACAACTGAAAGCATTTTCCTTAGAAAAGTTTATTTAGCTATCAGAGCAAATAAAGATGTCTTGAAGCATGGAATTGTACAGAACTTTCAATTTGTTACTGTCATTTCTACAGTTTATGTACATTTTACATTGTCTATTGTTCATACATATTAAACATGAACACATTCTGTATACACTCCTCCACTGTATCTGATGTGTGACAAAGTGAAGTCTTCAGTATAGGGATGCCTCTTCTTGCTGCATGAACTTCTTTCCAAATCTTTCAAGACTGAAAAGGAAGAAAAGGAATTGAAGTATCTCTCAATTATGAGATGTGCAACATCATCCATAGTTCCATACACATACATAGGAGGTTAAGATTTAAATATTTTGCTATAAGTTCAAATGAAAGAGAAGAAAAATTGGTTTTTAACAGAATTCTGTGGAAATGCATTTTAATATTGATGAGTATTTTGTGTATTTATACATGAATGTGTCACACAAGAAAGAAGAGATCTATATACAGAGTTTTCTTTGATTTGTTAAAACACTGCTTATAAAATTTCATATGCTGCATTCTTATTAGTAGAGTGTAATGCAATGTATACATATGTGCTCAACTAAGTAGTTCCTTCCGTTCTAAAATCAGATACAGAGAGAAAGAAATGAAGTCGGTATTGAAATATATTGCAAATGAAATAATCTGATATAAAATCAGAGATTAAACTTCAACTTTCAAAACAATTTTTGCTTAATCTGCAATTTAATAGTTGCCTTATATTCATTTTTCCAATAGATTCTGTATAGTCCAGTTATCTGGAAAATCTATTAAATAATATGGTAATACTATCAACCAATTCAAATGTACGAATTGTAAATGATTGATAAGGATACCTACAAGAGGACCATGGGCCACATCGCTCACCTGAACTTTGTTTAGAGAAAAGCAGATATCAATTTAGTATTGAAAAGTGGTCCCATCCTTCCCAAGAATGATCTGAGCAAACTTTTATAAACACTACATGGAGATGCTTGCAAATTAATATAACTTATCATGGCATTGTTGTTCTTTGAAAAGAATTTAAATGATTTTTCCCCTATATTCATAATTAAAACTTTAAACGCCAATTGTAGCATAGCCCCTGGGTTACCATTTGAATGAATTTGAATCTACAGTATGTAATGAAGCTTTTAAAATTTTTATGCTATTAAATTTCGATTTATTTTTTTTCATTATTTCCCCTTGAAAGAGAGTGTGGTAGTTCATTTCTAGATCATCTTCACCAAAAAGTGTCTTGTGGCAAGTTTGGTTGAAATTGACCCAGAGTGGTTCTTGAGAATAAATTGAAAATGTAAAAATCTAACAGACAACAAGACAGATGATATATACAACAAATAGAAGGATGGTCAACACTCTTCAATCAAAAAAGCTCATTTGAGTCTTTTGACTCAGGTAGGCTAAAAATGAATTAATCTACATGATATATTAGATGAAAACCAACAAAACATGAAAATGATTTCACACAATTTTGTAGAGCGCAGCACAGCACCATAGAAGCAATGGATACCATTATCGATAAATGGGAATATGTTCCAAATCAGCTGATTGTGTACGTATAACCAGATGATATAGAAGTAATACATGTATGTTAGTGTGTATCTATATAGATCTATAATTTCTGTAATTTGTGCACTGTCCTAATCTTGACGGCATACTTTGCAGTGTACAGATCGTAATTGATTTTTTGAGAATTTGCATGGGTTGCAGTGGTGAAGCATGAAGCTTTAAGCACATAAAATGTTCTCCACTTCACATACCCAGGAAAATGAAGCTGCTCCATACATCTGAAAGATTGGTTTCAATACATAAAAAAATAACTTAATTAAAGGCTCGTGTATTGGATTTCACACGTCAATGCATATGTATTTTTTCATTGTATTCCTTGCACTTGAAGTATGTAAAGTGAATGGAATGGTATAAAATGTTTTAAAGTCATATATGGCATATTTTTGATAAGTTCAGACTAACTAAAATTAAAAAGACCTTATATTTCTATTTGTTTTGTTTCTTTATATAAAGATAGGACTTCCCTGCAAATTACACAATTTAAATCAGTCATGTTTTATAGATATCACAAAGTAAAAACAATAACTGATTTATTTCCATCTCGGAATTAAATAACAGACACCGTTTAAAGTCAATTTAACTATAGAAACATGGGGATATTTAAGGGTCCTCCACAC